CCTGCTTGATTAGTTCCCATCTCAGCGGTTGGTATGTTTAATTTGTCATTTCGCTTGGTAACAGACAGAAATAAGCAGTAAAACATCTATAGGTAGGCAGACAGGCCACTTAGTCCTTCTGTTTGATTTTTGTTAAAAATATTGATTTTGATCACATTTCAGCTCTGGGTCAACACACCCATAACAGCTGAGCAAATTTTTTAAAGTCTATTGAGACGGCCACAACTTGAAGAGGTGATACGAACACCCTATGTACGTTAAAGTGCAAAGTTAATAAAAAAATTTTTTTATATAAAGAGTGTAAAGAAGTGTAGGGCTTGATCTTTGATGAGCTAGCTACCATTAGCAACTTCATTAGAAGCCATAGCCGTGTTGCCAGTTGTTTAAATCACAGCATCTATACTTTTCAAACAAAAAATTCTTGTCTTGTTCACAATAAGAAAATAAACGTATCTCGGAATTTATATAAGAAACCAAGCTGCAACATTTTAGTCGGGAAAGAGCGATAATGAAAATATGATACCATTCTTCGACTATTTTTGCCGTAAAATTCCTGAAATTATATTTGTTACCATAAAGCAAAAGTTATAGTTTCAGGGCACTCTTCTATTGTAGAGGGCCCAATACGGGCATGAGATATCGCCTAAATTTAGTAAAAAGTTAGTATTCTTTACTTCGTTTTCCCATAAGCTACCGAAAATAGAATAGAGAGAGGGAGCATTTCTTATTTCATATTATAGAGAACCCAACTCGGACAGATGTCCCTAATGATTTAACTTGAGTACTTGCATGGAAGCTTGACCGCGCGATGTCCGCGGACGCACGGTCTGTTTTAGCGACACCCGGACCCTACCGGATTGTGAGACAAACCCCATAAGCTACAGACGCCACTGCCATTAGAGTCCCAGATTGTTTTTAAGTGTGTGGCCCATAAGTCGAATCTGGGGTATGTTGAGACCTATCAAAACCTCTCATTACTTGTTATAGTGAATGGTTGACTAGCACAAAACTCCCTTCGGGTCCATACCCACCAGTCGGGACCCACTATCACTACAAGAATGCCGCCGAAAACAGTTCCTCTGATTAGCTTTAAATGGCGAGCGTGCCTCTAACCCCCGTGGAGTCGAAATTTAGACTATAAAGCTTTTCGGCCAACACGGGCATGGGATGCGTCCCAAATTCAGTGAAAAGTTAAGTTTTTTTGCTTAATTTCCACGTAATCTACTGAAAACGGAGGCAATGTATGTAATATTAATTTTCTGTAATGCTTGGAGGGGTCAAAAAATTTCATCCTTTGCGGTCCATATTTAACGCCCTATAATTATATATCAAATCACTTTCCTGTACCAACTTAAACCACAAGGCATAAAAATCAGCTGTATATGAGCTTACTTTTTGAAAAAACGCTTACATAGGAGAAAGAAAATTATCTCACCTCATCCAAGTTGCCCGCATTCATACTACATACTACAATATACTACAATAATACTTTCGATCGTTTTACAGTATATCAAATTTCATACCTTTGGAAAATCACGATCGATAGGTTTTATGCGAAAATAAAGGAAGGATAGACGGAAAGATGGGCAGATATAATTGGCATAACAACAAAAAAGTTGTTCTTCTCTATTTAAAGTTGTCTGCACAAATTTAAAACTTCGCTTCATTACAATGTACCCTGGCATATAATTATGTAAATTGTGCTGAATTGAATCATTTAGTGTAAGAAAGGAATTCATGGTATTTCGAGACTTTACAATGGGCATAGCAATTTTTTAACTTGTAAAGGAACTGCAAGCATCGTCCATAAGGACGTTTACTGCCGCTTCTGGTGTATTTTATGAGAGCTAAGCAAGCAATCGAACTTCTTTTGTTTTCAATTAATGTTAGGATTACCGTAGGCGTGTCCTACGACCAATTTTACCCATTTTCAATAGAAACTTTCTTGCAAGAACACTTGAATCAAACCCGACGGTTATGCTAGACATATTTGACATATCCATGGATATAGCACTTTTAATGCAGTTCGCGGGCATACACGCTTATTATCAAATAGCAGTGAATACTTGCAAAATTGGTTTTTATTCCTAAGTTTAATTTCAATTTGTCTAAGCTGTACGTACTTAATGGGCTGCATTTTTACTGTAACGTAATTTTGATTGGTTTTTTGTAATAGAAATGAATGGTTTTTGTTGTATATATTAGTTTGGGGAAAAAGAAATCCATTATTTTTTCGGTAGATGGCTGCACTGATAGATTTCTCGTAAAGTATCGATCAAACAATTTCATATTTATGCTCGTTCGAAAGGTGACATTTCGCAGTAAAAAAAATTCTTTTGCTGTTCTTTGTTTGGTGCATTCAGTTGTGAGTTACATCGTGTTAAAAATGGAAGTGAACAAAGAGAAAGTTCGCTACATTTTACAGTTTTTCTTTGACAAAGGCGAAAATGCAAGCCAGGCGGCTAAAATTGTGAATGCTGTTTATGGTTCCGATACTGTAGCAGCCAATTATGTGCAATTTTGGTTTCGTAGATTCCGTTCAGGAATTTTTGATGTTAAAGATGCACCTCGCACAGGTAGGCCGGTCGTCGAAAATGTCGATAAAATCGGAGAAATGATCGAAGTTGACCGGCATGTTAGCAGTCGTAACATCGCCCAGGAGCTAAAAATCGACCATAAAACAGTTTTAAACCATTTACACAAAGCTGGATTCAAAAAGAAGCTCGATGTTTGGGTGCCACACCAATTAACAGAAAAAAACATGATGGATCGAATTTCCATCTGTGAAGCCTTGGCCAAACGGAATGAGATAGACCCATTTCCAAACGGATGGTGACTGGAGATGAGAAATGGATCACATACGATAACCCTGTGCGAAAACGATCGTGGTCAAAGAGCGGAGAAGCACCTTAAATGGTGGTCAAACCAGGACTAACGGCCAGGAAGGTTTTGCCCTGCATTTGGTGGGACTGGAAGGGGATTATTTATTATGAGTTGCTTCCATATGGCTAAACGCTAAATTCTGATCTCTACTGTCAACAACTGGACCGTTTGAAGATAGCGATTGACCAGAAACGGCCAGAATTGGCCAACAGGAGAGGTGTCGTGTTCCACCAGGACAACGCTAGGCCACACACATCTACAGTGACTCGCCAGAAACTTCGGGAGCTTGGTTGGGAAGTTTTAATGCATCCGCCATACAATCCGGACTTGGCACCAAGCGATTATCATCTTTTTTTGCATTGCAAAATTTCTTTAATGATAAAAAATTGGAATCTAGGTAGGATTGGGAAAATCGACTACTAGAGTTTTTTGCAAATAGAGACCAGGACTTCTATAAGAGAGGCATTTTGAAGTTACCTTTAAAATGGCAACAAATCATACAACAAAACGGTGCATATTTGACCCAAATCGGACAATCCGAAGCATGTTAAATAAAGTCCTGAAATTCATATAAAAATGATGGATTTCTTTTTCCCAACCTAATATATGTAATATGAAATTCATGAATGCTTCTTTTGCACGGTTTCTTGAGAAAACATTCAGTGCTTTTTAATTTTTTAAAATTGTGGAACGTATCCCTTAGTCTACTAAATGTCACATGTATTTTTTTACATGATTTTTTTGCAAGGATTTCTAAAGAATACATACACCGTGTAAAAAAGGCCTGGGTGTATATTTATACATATGTATTTATTTCTCAGAAACGCATCACTGTATAAGAAAAGAGGAGGATATATATATATATTTGTGTATACGATCATGATATATATATATATAGGTATAATTAGTATATATAGTTTGTATATATAGGTTGAACCGATCGCAGCATCTCTAAATGTACACTCACATACATTCGATGGTGTCTTTAAAGGATTCTTTCTGGGTCATCCTGCGATGACTCTTGTAGAAATACCATGCCTATTAATGGCTAGTGGAATAAGTAATGAAATACAGTTCAACTGAAAAGTCTAAGAAAAGAAGAAGTTTTTCTTGCAGAAGCTATTGCAGTTATTTTGTATAATAAGCGTCACTCTATTGGACTTTATCGTGTAAATTCCATGCAATAGCAAACGATTGACATCGAACACATACATTTGCTACATATTTTATTTTTGTACCATTAAAAATTTCTTGACTTTTAAAATAAGAAAAATTCTGCAGGAAAACTTTTTAACTAAAAGATATAGAAAGTTCTTAACATATAACTAAGGCTTTACCTTTTCTGGCCATATTTCACTTACTGTCCTAAAGGCAAATCGAAAATTTGCTAAAATATTAAAAGAGAAGAAAAAGAAAAAAAAAAAAAAAAAGAGACGTTTATTGCTCTACGGTAAGGCATTGTATTCACGCGCACTCTTGCGTACATGGCTGGATCTGTAAGAGACTGTAAACTTCTGTTCTTATCTACTTTGTGTGTATGTCATTTGATTTTCTGGTGATACTTTTAGTTCTCAAACAAGTTAATCTTGTTTACGAATATGTAGCAAGCAGTTAAGCGAGCCCCGGGAAAGTAAAGAAGTAAGACAGCAGGCAAAAGCCCGTAGAAAGTGGCTCAATAGATGAAAATAAGTTACAACGTTAACAACAACAAAAGCAACAATAACAGCAAACAATATGCTTAGGGACGCATATCACAGGCAATGAAGAAAGTTTTGTAAAGAATTTACAAAAGTTTTTTAGTTTTTGTTGTTGCTGCTATGTTGTTATTGCTTTTCTTTTTTTTTTTTCTTGTTTCACTTTTGTCAGTTCACCTGTTAAAGAATGCTTAGGAAATTTTGATAAAAAAAAAAGGAAAAACGGAATTATATGTGGAAGTGTGTTCATAGGACGAAGCAAATAACTCTATAGAAGAAAATGTGCGAAACATTAAAAAACGACAAGAGTAGCTGGCGTAGGTGTATATCTTTATTTGTGTATGCGTGTGGCTGTGTGTTTACGTATTTATACGTATAAGTGGACATCTACGCCATGGTTTGAAAAGATTTTCCGTTACTTACCTTCCCCAAATTCACAAAGCCATGATCACGTGCTACTGCGTTGACTTTGTCCTCTTTATCACCGTCAGGTATATGCACAGCCCAGGTATGTGTATAATGACCGATTGCATCGCTTTCGTCACCACCTATACTATTCCCACTATCATCGTAATCTAATACATCCAGTAGATTATCATTATCGGTGTATAATGACAACGTTGACTGTCGTTGATTTTTAACAACATTAGCACACGTCACGAAACCGATATTTAACGAACATATTAACACTACAACAGTAAATTGTAATAATAACATTAAGTATGCCTTACGATCGCCGCTACATAATCGCACCGATAAACTTTGCAGACATAGCGAACGTGCTGCAAATCCTTGTCCGCCTCCTCGTCGTTGATATACGTGTTTGTGCTGATGATGGCGTTGTTGACGGTGATGGTGGTGGTAGAGGTGGTGATGTTGGTGATGATAATGTGGTCGACAGTGAGCACTTTTTATTGTTTTTCTTCTAAGATTAGCTACAGTTTCTACGGTGTATAAATCATTATAATTAATGTTGTTGTTGTTGTTGTTGTTGTTGTTGTTGTAGTGTTTGCTGCTGCTAATATCACATTGAAAACTTTTTTCATTTGTTATTGTTTTAGTTATATTACTATAATTATTACTACTTGTTGCTAAAGTTCGCTTTTGTTGTTGCTGTTCTTGTTGCTGTTGGCATAATAAAGTGGAGTGTGATAGCAATGATGTTGTTGATGATAATTTGGCAACATGTTGCTTTGCCGCATATTCTTTGGTTGGGCAAATGTTACTATTGGAGTGTTCGGCGAAAATTGGCTTTAAATGTTTCGAGGTATCATGTCCTTTGGATGACCACCACCATCCTGCAACGTCGTTTTTCATTGTAAGTTAGAAGAACAAATTTGTAAAAATATTTTTTTTTTTTTTTTAGTTTGATATATATGTACTTATATATAAATATATATATATATATACATATATATATATATATAGAGATATTTAAGATGTATATGTTTCACAACGTTGGCCAGAGATTAGTTAAGGAAAGGTAGACAGCTGGACTAGTCTGCACTTAAGGAAGCTTTGGATTATTTCTGTAATGAAAATAAAGTTCAAAGAAAAATAAATTAAGTCATCAAAAAAGTTTTATTTAAAAGGAAAAAAAATAAAAGTTTTATGCGCTAGATGCACAAGGTAATGATGCAAAGGAAAGCATCATAAGATTCAAGTTCATTAGCCGTGAACATGTCGTGTTCATAGGCCAGCGAAAGGCGATAACAATGCTACAAAAAACAAACGAATGCTGCTTTTAATTATTGACGATAAACTATGCTCTTCAACAGTACAAAGCTGTGAACCCTTAACGCCTTCAAAAGCATATTGACTGGCGTTTGTTTGCCAGGATAGTTTGTCAGGCATTGGCAAGTATACTTAATTTGCCTGTTGTTTAATCAGATTTCAAAGTATGCTCGCTGTGGCAGTAGTAAATTACAAATGGAAAAGCATCTCTTTTAGCCCTTTAATGCATATTGTTGCCAATTGTTCTTAAATTTTAAAATTGCGTTCAATTGGAATGTGAATAATTGGCTACAATATGCATTTGAGAGTTAACGGAATATTCAATCAATAGTGCATTGAAAGTGTTGACCATTGCTAGCCGCTACATGTACCATCTCTTCCAGGAAATATTAATTCCGCGTTGGAAGGTCAACCGAACCCCTTTGGAGTTGTCAACGAAAGCATCAATTTTCTTCATTGTCAGCGTTGCTCAGAAAGACAATAGAACATAAACTAAAACCAGTGAATGGATCAAGAAGGGTGACACATTCAGGTCTTCGCTGCTAACGTTTGCTCGTTGTCATATCTGACTGTCACACTGAAAAATGACGACATCATTACCTGCAACAGATTACCACTGTTTATGGACTTGAACCCATCAGTTCTTGTTCGTAACGCGCTATCGTTGGTGATGCTTTCGTTTATAATTCACTCTACCTAACAAAGCTAGTTATAAATAAATATAAATGGATACGCCGCGCATATGAATAGCTTGCCTGAACCGAATCATGCTTCTATCTTTTATTAAACCGAAGCTTATCTGTTCGTCTGTTCGTCTGAGGTGTTCAACCTACAGTTCGCAATTTTCGAAATCTGCAGTGACGTGACGTTTACAGTATTGCATAGAATTATTGAAAGACAGTGCTAAATTTCTTTACCACTTGTGATCTGTTCAGAAAATCATTCTAAATCGACTTAACTTTGTCTGTCCGTCCGAAGTCTGTCCTGCAGATCGCAAATTTTCCAGGTATTTTGATGAAACTGGATACACCGACATGTTTCGGATCAATCACGAACGCTATTGGCAATCATTCGAATCGCCTTTCGTTCACTTCTTCGACCGCCTTCAATCTTCTTCCTTCCTGTGAAAAGTCGTTATATGAACAACCGTAGTAGGCGAAGCGGTACAAGGCATTTAATGATGGGGCGTACCTAACTATAGTGTATAGTGTGGGATTTCTTGAATAAATGGAAAAAAGATTCGACATGATGAAAACGAAATTCAATAATTCTTATGAATTAATAACCTATTGACGACTCACCATCGTAATATGCGTTTTTTTTTTCTTTAATACTTCATTTATTTGCCTGAATTGAGATGCGTCGCAAACAAAAAAAAATCGTTATAGATTTTCCAGATGTTTTTATTACACGAAATAAACGATCTGAACAAAATTGATACCAATAATCCTCACTAGGGAAGTGTATCGGCGAACGTGTAATATTCATATGCAGCATATAGATCTGTCAATGATAAATTGACGTAAAAAGAATTTTTTCCATTTTTAATAAAGAATTCAGGGTAAAGCATAAATAAATGAAAAGCGAGAACACTGAGTGAATGAACGTTAATGAAAATTTACAGTTAATAAATGAAAGCGAAAAATGTGCCCGTTGGCTGGCTTGGTATGTTCAAGTGAAAATGATATTTAATTCGTCTGCATGTACGCAAGCATTCATTTAACTTTTTTTAAGTGTAAATGAAAGAAATTGCATTGTGTGTGTATGAAAAGAAAAAAAAAAAAAACAAATAATAAAAAATAGGAACCAGTGGTCTTCACTGGCAATTGATGACTTTAAACTGTCAACAACAGTTGGATGAAATATTTTTTTCTTCTTGTACGCATTAGTGTGTGTGTGTGTGTGTGTGTGTTTGTACGCGCTTATCTATGCATTCACGTTTAAACAATAACTGCACTGTAATTTTATTTAAAGATTTTAAGCAGTGAGAAATCAATACAGCTGTGTAAGCAACACAAGCAAACATACAAGAAGTCAGGACTTAATTAATACGTTTGTGTAACAAATATTTTCTAATAATTGATAATAATAATAATAATATATTACATTAATAAGATAATGTGCGCTACACTGAAGATGAATACTGACTGACTGGCATTGTAGTTAATTCTGAATTTAATTACATTTTATATCGATTGAGTTTTGGGCAAGAAAATGTCAAATCTTTTCATTTATTTATTTCGTTTACTTGAACTGTAAGGCTTCACTAGACCTATTCTATAGCTTTTGATACTTGCAAACCTTTCAGATTTTTTAAAATTTATTTTTCTTGATTCTGAGTCTGTTTAATTATGTTTATATAGAACGTCGTATTGCCTTTGCATCTTTCTTTCTTGCAAAATTTATTTAAGGAAACTAGAAGTTGGCACAAAAATCTGCAGATCAAACGAAAAAAGGCAACTTATAACTCCTTTTTTAGGGAAGATAAAATTACTTATGTATCTATAGTCAGGCTGTAAGTGTGTCTGGATGACAATGTGAACATAATTGCATATTCTTCTAACAAGAGCTCATATTGAATTACCTATACCGTTATGATAATGATTTGCGTTATTGCGTTTGCGATGTGTCTATGACTGCTAATTATGACTAATCTTAAATTTATTCATTGATTCCCATAATTGCGGTTACAATTATCATAATGGTACTAAATATGATTGTGAATATGAATTTAATGAATTTAAGCAATGAATATAAACTATATATAAATATGATATACATATGATGCACATATTCCCTGAAAGCTGGAAGCAATCTTATATTATAATGCTTCGTAAGTGCTGTCCTAGAAATTTGATAAGAAATTACCGGGGTATTGTGAAGCTTCCTAAACTGCTTGACCGTTTTCTGGCGGAGAGAATTGAGCCGTCTATTCAAGTTATTATCTTGTCGACACCGCATGGTTTTACTAGGGGTAAATCTATGACGACTAATGTCTTGGAATTGGTTTGCAGTGCGTTTCCTGACTATTCGGCGAGAAAGTAAAAATAAACGGCATACACTTATTTTTCAAAGACTTTTGATAGAGTGCCACACTCTCTTCTCCTACATAAACTAAAGTACATTATTTTACCCTTTAACTTTATTGAATCGATCAGGTCGTAGATATCGGGACCTTCCCAATGTTTTGCGTCTCTTGCAAGATCGATGTTATGTCAGATGTGCTGTAAGCAAATCATGTTTGTTCTCTTTTTTTTATTATTTATTAACGACCTACCCTGTACACCTACCTTCTGTATAAAGAGTTCTAGTGTTTTGATGTTTGTTGACGATGTCAAGATCTTTTAATATAGTAAGTCGTAGTCTCCTATTTCAAGACTCATTAAGTCACCGAATTGGTGGAAGCATATTGCTATGATTTTAAATCGGGACAAATGTAGAAAGTTCTCATTATCTAGGTCTATCCCGATATCTGGCAATTACTATTTAGTTTGCCAATTGCTGCATTTTTGGGGGTGCTTATTGATTCGAAGTAGGACTTCCATTTGCAGATTGTTTTAATAAATTTAATTCTATATTGGGTTTTGTTAAAAGGCATTATGTTCGTCTCGAACAAATTACGAATTATTTCATCCGTTGGGAGTTGTGGGCTTTAATTTTAATGAATGCTTTCATTTGTGTGATGGTTCTTCACTTTTCGTAAACCACATCAGGGCTGCCATTCTTGGATAAAGTGAACCGGGGCTGCGTCCAATTTGCGTTCCCTGTAATCTTGTAAGTAAGTTTGTCAATTTGATGGAATTGCTTTAAATTAATATGTTTGTAGTTCTTCACAAACGGCTATTGATTAGAAATTTAAGATAAATATGTTTATAGTACGGTTGATGTTGTATGTGTGTAGCTGAATTTTCTTGAGGGAAAATAAATAAATAATAAAATGAAAAAATAAATGTATATATATATAAATATAAAAAATCAATATAAACGTAAATACAAATGTAAATTTCTAGCTGATAGTCTTAGCTGCTAGTGCTCATCCTAATTTTTGTCTTAGAATTTATTCTGTTGATCTAAATAAATTACAATAATAATAATAATAAATATAAATAAAATATAAAAATGTAACTAAAACCATATATATAAATACATATTTACATATAAAAATAAACATAATTATAAATTTATATATAAAAATAAATATAAATACTATAAATATAAATGTAGAGAGAATATAAACCTAAATTATAAATTCAAAATATAAATATGTATATAAGAATAAACATAAATACAAATACAAATAAAACAAATAAAAACATAATGGGGCAAGGCCGACCATTGAATATCCTACACCAATTCGCCTAATACAATTATTCGCTCGTTTCGATAATAAGACACCAGAAGTTATACATTATTTTTACGCAAAGACATACTTTTCGTGAAAGCCCGCATGATGGAGGATGCCCGAAACATCATATGATATGACCCAAATTTAGCAAACCTAATTTGCTTCCCACAAATTTTATTGTGTTTCAGTTTCCATCATAGAAAAGTAGAAATTATACGTTTCCTTCATATAAGGGTTTGCTTATCACGATAATCCCTACATATGTTAGGGTGTAAGGAATCCAAATGCAAATTTTTCTTGAGCCAATTTTCATCATAACATAAGAAAAATTGAACCTTTCTTTGAAGAATAAGGTTATGAGAAATTTTATATGCAGTGGTGTTCAAGCAATAGACCCGTGTTCTTCAAATTTATTCCACTTAATTTTTACGTCAAATTAGACCTATAAAT